GTTCTTTGCATGCTTCCCACCCTGATATATAACCCATTTAATTCCTAAAGAGCTCTTAGATTCAGCCTCATCCTTTTAGTTAATAGCTTATTTCCCCTTAAAGTATTCACAGTATAATATAACCCAGACTCCATCAAGCAACGACTTTCTAAGCTCATGAAGGAAATGGATAGAAATTCCCAGCTGATTTTGTACTGATCAGTACCCTCCCCCATCCCAATTCAGAAAGTGCTAAATCCTGAAAATCTTATTCTCAAGCTTCAAGGTGGAAAAAAAGGTTCCCATTTTGGGTATCAAACAATAAAATCACTTTAAAATTTATTTTCATTTATTCATTCAATTTGTATGGCTGCCCATCTCAGCAAGTGACTCTGGGTGGCGAACAATCTTAAAATAAGCCATTTTCTATCATAAATATAAAAAGGAAAAGCACAGCAGCCAAGGACACTGTCCTAATCAGTGGTTGTTAGCACAACCAAGAGAGTGGACCCTTCACACACTCAAGCCCCAGGTGCAGAACTAGGTTTATAAGGGTCTTATGAAAAGCCAAGATTTCTAATTTCTACAGGGAGAATGTTCCCCCAATCTCATTTCAAATTAGCAGAGCCCTCTGTCACTTTGGGGTTTCTACTAGATACATCAACTGCAAAAAATGTGGTAGATGCATACACAGAAAAACAAGAGAGTGACAGAATCTAGAATTAGAAGGATATTTGTAAGTAAAACTCATTCAATATAGCAGCCAACTGACTTTTTCAATCTCCTAATAATAGTCTCTCAATGCAACAAATTGCATGCAAATAGCGCCCTCTCCTAGTAAGAGACAATTATTTCATTCACTAACATTTCTGGTTTAAATTGAATTGAAATATGACTATTTTCCTTTAGGCTCCAAATGTGCAAAACCCAATTCATAATAAGACAGAGTTCCTGTGTGTCTACTTTATTGCTCTGCATGCAAACAGAAAATGATCTATAGATATCCAAGCAAACTAACTCTACAATAAAACAGATGGTCAATTTTTCTTCCTGCTGGAGCTGAACATGCAGAAATCCTTCTCTTGACACACCAACAGGGTGAGCCAGATCCAGCCAATTTGTTCAATCGTAATTAAATTTAATGCAAATAGAACCAGATGTATTGTTCTTTTTTTGTCTTGACCTTGACTGTTTCTTTGGTCTGGCAACTCTGGCTTCTGAAAGTATAAATCTGCTGTGCTGTCATCTAGAGATCAAACATGCCCCTTGTCTCAAAATAAGTCACACATCTCTGCCTTTGGACATGTTAAGGTCATTTCCAGGTTTCTTAAGTGGAAACAGTTGTCTCTGCTGACTGCCTCATCCTGAAATGCTGATTTCAAATCTTCTGGGTCTCTATTATGTCAGGGATCAGATGTTTTTCCTTCCGACAGTTAAGATTTGTTGATGTACAGCAGGGCTCTTCAAACTTGGCCCTTTTATGACTTGTGGACTTCAATTCCCAGAATTCCTCAGCCAGGCACGCTGGCTGAGGAATTCTGGGAGTTGAAGTCTACAAGTCATAAAAGGGCCAAGTTTGAAGACCCCTGCTGTACAGTAAGTCCTCGTTCAGCAACTGCCTTATCGAGCGGCTGTTTGCAGTTACAACAATGATGAAAAAGTAGCTTTGCTTGAATTTATGACCTTTGCAAGTCTATAAAGCAAAGGAAAGCTGAAGGAAGATGACAAACACACTTAGCAGCCATTTAAAGACTGAGTTGCCAGTCCCAGTTGTGTGGTCACTAAATGAGGACTGCTTGAAGTTGGGCTCTAGTATCAATGCTGGGTTTAATATGTCATTGGTTTTAAAATAGAGCACTGATGGCGAACCTTTTAGAGACTAAGTGCCCAAACTGGAACCCAAAACCTACTTATGCATCATCAAGTGCCGGGTGGGTGTGGCCCATTGGGTGGGCATGGCTGCGGTGGTAACGGCAGACTGGGTGGGACTAAAAAGTTCAATCAATCAATTTCAACTTTGCAAGATCTTTTTTTTCCCGTGAGAAGTTGAAATTGACTGATTGAACCTTTTTTTTTTTGCACATGGCGGCGGAGTCCTAAAGCAAAAAGGTTTTATAAAACCCAGCTGAAGGCCTAGGACTGGGGCGACGGCGTGCGTGCCCACAGAGAGGGCTCTGAGTGCCACCTCTGGCACCTGTGCCATAGGTTCGCCACCACTGAAATAGAGCTACAACAGAGCACAATCAGCATTGCGGTGTGTGCTCTGCACCATTTCAACATCCATGGGGCAAAAAAGCACAATCAGTGTTGCAGTGCATGCTCTGCACCATTTCAACATCCATTCTGTTATACACAGACACACACACAGAGCTTCTATCACAACCTTGCAGTGCTGCTGTCATCATTTTGATGGCAGGAACCAAAGCTTTGGGTACCTTAGCTAAGGTGCATATTGTTGTATATTTGTAAAAAGAAAAAAAACTAAATAAAACAGTAAATTACATTAGGAAATTAAATTTGCAGAAGGAAACATCTAAAGCTCTCATTTTTTTCTGGAAGTTATCAGCAGCCATAAAGGAAGTGAGATCTGACCATGGGGAAAGTACGAAAGAGCTGTTAAGTGGGGGTTAAGTGGGAGAAGGAACAAACCATTAAGAAGGGATTTGGAGAAGAGATTATAGTAGGGGTGTCCAACCTTGGCAACTTTAAGCAATAGAAATAACACTTAGACTTATATACCACTTCATAGTGCTTTACAGCATTCTCCAAACGCTCAGCATGTCACCCCCGACAATCTGGGTCCTCATTTTACCGACCTCAAAAGAATGGAAGGCTGAGTCAACCTTGAACAAGTCAGGATCAAACTCCAGGTGGTGGGCAGAGTCAGACTTCAATTCTGCATTTTAACCACTATGCCACCACAGCTCCAGCTGGAATGCCTGGAGTTGAAGTCCACAGGTCTTAAATATGCCAAAGTTGAACACCCCTGGATTACAGAGTCCTGAGAAAGAGAGAAAGCGTGAGGAAGATACTTAAAATAACCCCACCTTGGTTTTGTTTAGTATCAGATGGGACAGAGAGAAACTGGGAGAGGTTTTCAGGATTCTTTTATTATCCTTTACAATAATAAAGTGTTTATGTGGGGTTCACTTTGAGTTAGTTTTTGACTCCTGGCAACTGCCTGGACTAGTCCCTACAGTTTTCCGGACAAGATTTGAGAAGCGTTTTGCCAATGTCTCCTTCCTAGGGCTGAGAGAGAGTGACTGGCCCAAGGTCATTTAGCTGGCTTTATGTCTAAGGCAAAACTAGAATCCAGGATCTCTAGACCAATCCCTTAATCTCTGCACCTAACTGGCTCTCAGTAGCATCCCTGAAATTCCTACCATGCCTGTTCCTTGACCTGTCCACCCTGAAGGGCTTGCAGCATGTACCAAATCATAGAAATAATATTTTGTTCGGATTTCTGCAGTTGAATCGTTGAATTGGTGGGAAGGCAATAAAGTCTGACAAAAATAAAACAGCAATAATTTTTCATGCTACCTACTTTGCTAGGGCCTTGACAGCTCGATCCAACATGTGAAAAGGTAGAAAAATCATTTCCAAACAGGACCATTCGTATTATAAGGTTTTGCATTTTTTAAAACAAAATATTTCCATACATAGAATTGAGAATGCTCTGAAGAAACATTATCTGCTCTAGACTGCATGCATTACCATTTTATCCAGGGTTAAACACAATTTAATAGACACACATGTAAGCACATCTGCCTTGTTTGGAAAGCTTATAAAAGTTACAGCAACCTAGACAAGAAAACAAAGGTTGAGGATTTGTTTTTGAGTTCTATGTCCTGGGGACAAAGTATTCACTTAATGTCCATGGTGTTCGCTTAACAACTACAGTGATTTACTTAAAGATCACTGCAAAAAAAGTTGCGAAACCAAATGTTGATGACCCGCTTAACAACCAGCATGATTTATAATCATAATTCTGGCCTTATGATCGTAAGTCGAGGACAGCCTATATTTGCCATTGCTACTACGGCTAAGGCTGAAATAACTGTATTATATTACTTTGTTGTTGTTGTTTTGGTGCATGAGTCAGTGTTGACTCTTGGAAACTGCCTGGACAAGTTTCAGAAGTTTTCTTGGCAAGATTTCAGAAGTGGGGCTTGCCATTGACTCCGTTGTATAACTGAGAGAGAGGGACTAGTTAAAAAAAAAAATCAACAACATAGATCAACACTTTTAAGATAAGACAGTGAATAATCATGCTTGATAAAACTTAGTTTGGATGATAATTCTTTAGGTCAATAGCCCAAAACCTAAACAGTCTTCCAGGTGAAATCAGAACACTAGGCCTTCTTCAAACCACAACTTTGTAACCTGATTTAATTCCAAAGCCATTAAGTGAGAAACTGCAGTCCATGGAAGAACATTTCTGGTTTGTGTACTCAGTTCTTGGAAAGGAGGAGCAGAGGGGGAGACAGAGAAGGGCTTATTAACATCTCAGCTAGTTCATGATTGTCTGAATGCAGCCAATGAGATCAAAGCAACAATTAAAGTCCTCAACCAGCAGCATCAAGCTCTAAGTCTAAGAGCTATCCACAGAACAGCAAAATGAAAATAGTCACAAACAAGATACATTAAATAAAATGGCCCAAATCTCAGGAATTCACTAAATCAGGGGTGTCCAACCTTAGCAACTTTAAGACTTGTAGACTTCAGTTCCCAGATTCTGGGAGTTGAAGCCCACAGATCTTAAAGTTGCCATTTATGTGCAAGATCCTAGGTCAGAAGGCAAAATACTATTGAGATTTCAGTGTTCTTATGCAAAAATTATAGGAACTGCATTGCTAAAATCTCAAGAACTCTGGTATTTCATGGATTCATTTAATTATTTTTAGTGCCTGGCACCTAAAAAAATTACCAACATCTCCTAATCCACCCCAGAGAACTTCCAAAACCTTTGTGCATAAGAGGTTAAAGTCTATGACTGGGAGCAGGGTCCAAAATCAAGATGGCTAGAAGCAGTTTTTAAAGTGCATTATTTTCTGAAATGCCTGCTTGAAATCTTCATTAAAGATAGTATATATAATGGGGTTAATCAGTGAGTTCAGATAACCCAACCAGGTGAAAACATCCATCAGGATATGAAGGGGCCAACAGGCTCCTTGGCAAATAGGGTTGACCAAGGACACCACAAAGAATGGCAGCCAGCAAAAAATGAACGCACCCAGAATAATCCCCAGGATCTTGGTAGCTTTCCTTTCTCGCGCAGCCAAAATCCTCTTTCTTTCAAGGATGGAATCGGCTAACTTGATCCTCACATGATTGATAACCACTGGTGAGCTCTGCGGATGGGAAGGTCCCTCATGAAGATTAGAGGTAACAGAGCAAAGAGAAGAACTTGCAGAGCCCGTGATCAGCTGGGCTGTGGTGAAACGCTTCCCGTACAGAGATGGTGGCTTAAGAATTCGGGATCGAGCAGTGATGTAAATCCTGCCATACAAGATGACCAGCAACACAGTTGGGATGTAAAAGGCACCACAGGTAGAATAGATGGTGTAGGAGATCTGATCTGTGTTGACCGTGCAAATGGTCAGCTCCTCGTGAGCCTTGGCTTGTCTCCAGAAAAGGGGAGGGATAGAGATGCAGATGGAGAGAACCCAAACTATAGCAATCATGATGGCAGCCCGGCGAGCCGTCCGGCGTTTGGTGTATTCGAGAGCATCCGTGATGGCCCAATATCTGTCCAAGGCGATGATACACAGATGCAGGATGGAGGCTGTGCAGCAGGTGATGTCCGAGGACAACCAGATATCACACATGACTTGGCCAAAGGTCCACAGGTGAGTGACCGTGTACACAATGCTGATTGGCATGACCAGAATGGACACAAGGAGGTCTGTGGTAGCTAGCGAGCCAATGAGATAATTGGCAGGAGTGTGGAGTTTTCTGGTTAAGATAATTGTGATGATGACAAATGTGTTGAAGAGTATGGTGGCCAACGTGATCAGAATCAGAGCTGCTGCCAGCAAAACCTTGAGGCCTAGCAACGTCCCTTCGTCCCAGTCACTTGCATTGAGAGATTTGTTAGCCGCACTTTGGAAAGTCAAGTCTGAAGACACATTGTACAAGTTCATTCTCAGCTGTGCTGGGTTTTCTTTGTCTCCTTTGCTTTTAAAATCATTGCATCTCTCAATTCTTGTTAAAAACAGGCTTTGTGGACAAAATCATCAAGGGCTGGGGTAAGAAGAGGCTGCTGTTAAACAGAAATCAAAATCACAACAAAAACATTAGCTGAGCCTGAAGAACAGAAAGTACTGTCAACTCTAGAGAAGATGCATTCACAAGTAAAAAGAGAAGACTACAATTTTCAGCCACGTTTATGGACTTATAGCCATAAACAGAGAAACAAGGTTTGTTTCAAAGAAAGACCCAAACTGGACTACTTGAGAGTTTAAACACATCAAGAAGCTAGCTGAGAGCTTCTATGTTATGGACTTAAATGGATTTAAATTTAAAATCTTTTTTATACTTTTGTCACCGTTTTTCTTCTTTTCTTTTTGCTTTGCATGTTTTTATTCTGTAATTCTTTTCAATAAAAAATATTTTTAAAAAATCTGGGAAGCTATCTGAACATACAGGATTCCCAAGGAATCGGATTTTCTAAAGAGGACAGCTTGGCTTTTTTACACTGTTAGAGATACAAAAATATTCTGAAAAATAATCTTGTTCTTAATCATATTACTGTAGGGGATTTGTAATCTGTAATCTGTAATCGTTATTTTGAAGTCAGAATAAGATTCTATGCATTGTGCAAGCTGTGTCCAATTTTCTTGTGAAGTCTAGATGAGTTAAGGAAAATGACCAAAAGATTAAAACAAGAATAATATATTTTACCTGTTCTTAGAGCTGCAGACAGACACTGGCTAAATTAACTGTCTGGAATAAAACACAACAGATTAGACACATATTTCAAAGTAAAGGACAGTAAAAAAAAAAGATCAATTTCTTGCATGCAGCCCTTACCTCTTCAATCAACTGTACCAGGGTAAAAAGGAGCAAAAATTAAATATAATCTCTCTGCCTGGTGGTACAAACTCCTGTCAACCCAAGGACTACAGATAGGCTTCTGTCAAAGAGCCCACAGCCCCAAAATAGGTGGAGCCTGGAATTTGGAGATAGGGGGAATAAAATGACCCAGGCATCATTTTTGCTCTTTAAACCTGGTTGACTTAAATAAAAATGTAAAAAGGGGAGGGAGATATAAATGTTTGACTCCACCCATTCTGAGATTACCCACTCACTCTGCAAATCACAAAACAGGATGCTGTAGGGCCTCATATAATGTTTATGGGGACATCCAAAAAGATAGCAAGATAGCAAGTCATGGGACTGAAGCTCACTTCCTTTTTATGGGTGTTGTGCTGAATGGCAGCCAGCTGAAGGCTTGCAATTTTGACTTCTTTGTCATTAAAACAACTTTATTGCATAATTTGTTTTGTCATCCGATGCCATCTTTTAAACTGAGTAATTCTGCTCAAAGTTCCAGCCCCAAGTATTTTTATGTTCTATAGACACATATAAGGAGAAAGAATGCGGTTTCCAAATTTTCTCAAGGTTAAAGGCTACCCATTAAATGGTTTTTCCCAGGCCTTGGCTATTCTTCAGAATGTCCTCCTGGTTTTCAGAGTCCAGTTAGGCATTCCTCAAGTTATGCAACAGGATGAAGGAGCAAATTAAGTCAATTGAACCTAAATCCAGGAAGAGAAATCATTGCCTAGATATTTTGTCAACTGTGGAAATATGTTTCCATTTTTGTTCACATTTAGCGTAACTGACTCAGGAGTGTGTGGGGAAAGTCTACAAAGACCTCCATTTTTACAGATCAACTTTTAAAGAAATATCTTTTTTAAAAAAAGAAATTATATGCCCAGAATCCCTTCCCTATAGGGCCAATGGCTGCTGGGAGTTATAGTTTATTATTAACAGGAAGACTGGATTTTCTCAGTCCTAGATAAGGCTTCTAAGTATGGACCTTACATAGAATTTCTTAGCCAAATGACAAAAATATTGCCCCAGTCATTGGGTGGTAGCAAAACTCTGGCATGGATGAATGAGTAACAATGGTTTATTGAGCCACAATTAAATTTTAGTTGGGTTTTTCTTCTTGTTGCTATAATGAAATGCTATGTTTTCATTTTGTTCATCACCTGGGCTTCTTGGATAGATGGGCAGACAATAAACTGAATTAATAAAAAGGATAAATAAATAAATTTAACATATTTTGTCTAAAAAGCCATCACTTTCAAGATTTAGTCAATGATTTCCATCTGTAAATGTTGAGTCCACCTCAATAGGGATCTGCTGTTGAGCAGCAGCTAACCAACCTGGAATGGTTCAGACAATCGAAACAAGCTACTTGTTTAGACGGAAAACCACACAGAGGGAACAACCGCACAGACATACCAGGATTATAAACTCATTATCATAAATAAATGAAGCCCTGGAGGAAAGCCACAATAAACTTTCTATATTTTTGCCAAAAGAACAAGAAAACCTGCATGAATGTATTCAGCAGACTTTATCACTGTTGAAAAGCAGATGCTTTTGAGCTGGGTTTTACTGCTCAGTTATCTGTGTTTTGTTTGTTTGTTTGTTTTATTTTTCAAATCAGCTACTGTCAGCCCATTCAGATAGGCTGAGTCAAGAAACAGGCTCATCAAGGATTCCAGGAATCTTCTTTATTGTAATAAAATAGAATAATAAAACTTTGGAAGTCTCTCTCTCTGTCCCACCTGATTCTAAGCAAAATCAAGATAGCATCGAGTTGCTTTCTCACACTCTCAGAGCTGTATAATCCTTTGTCCAAATGCTTCCTTATCAGGTCTCTCTGAATTTAACAATAAGGCCAGCCCTTCTTCATGCCTCATTCTTCAGAGGACAAATTATTTTATTGATCCTATAATATCTTCCTCATCTGAACCCCAAATGTATCTCTTTGGCTGAAAATCAACGTCAGGGGGCAGCCTTGCACTCCATTTTCAGTCAGTCAAGAGAAAGCCGAGCTTCAAAGCAATATAAGAAGAACCATGTTAGTCGATAGAAGCCAAAAATCAAAAGCAGTCTGACAGCACAATTTCCAACCAGCCAATTGTATTAAAAGGATACACATTTTTGTGAACTGAGGTTCATTTCATCACGTACACAGAGTACCCATTGACTGCAGATCACACAAGCTTGTGCCTCTTAATAAAACTTGTTACAGATAGTCCTCAACTTACAGCCATCCATTTAGTGACCACTTAAAGTTACAATGGCACTGAAAAAAGCAACATATGGCAGATTTTCACACTTACAACCCATTGCAGCATGTAATCAAAATTCAGACACTTGGCAACTGGCATGTATTCATGACTGTTGCAGTGTCCCGGGATCATGTGATTCTGTTTTGCAACCTTCTAACAGGCACAGTCAATGGGGAAGCCAGATTCACTTAACAACTGTATTACTAACCAAACTACTACAGTGATTCACTTAACAATTGTGGCAAGAATGGTCATAAAATGGAGCAAAACTCACTTAACAACTGTCTCGCTTAGCAGTGGAAATTTGGGGCTCAGTTGTGATCATAAGTCGAGGACTATCTGTTGTCAAAAAGGTGTTTCAGATTCCTGATTAAGAGTGAACAAGTTTCCTGATTTATTTGATAAGAAGTTGACAGGGAAATTAAGCATGAGTGGAGTGATAGGGTACTGCTAAGACCACCTAGTTCATAGTATAACTTTTGCAGCCCATGGTCATCTTTTCACATTCACATATTCCAAAGAAGAAAAATAATTTCCTGCAGCCAGTTCCAGTTGTGTGGATATTTTTCATAATTCAATGGCACTGACAGCTCATGAGATGAAGGAGCCAAGAGATCAGGCTGGCACTTGTTCAAACCCTCCCTTAGCCACAGAAACCCACAGGATACTCTTGGGCCCATTGCTCTCTCTCTCAGCCCAAATTCAAAGGGTTGTTATTGTGGAAGGAAATGGAAGGGCCCCCTTGAGCTGCCGTATGCATAGTGGAAGAGAAATTAAACTAGCCAGGCAGATTTTTTTTAAAAACCAGAAGATGGGAGATAGAGAAGATGGAAAGATGAAGTAAAGTTTTAGAACATGAACAATCTTGTAAAACCTAAACAGTTAGATTTAGGCATGGGAGACCAATAGGAAATTCAAGGTTGTAAGCTAGACTGAGACACTGAAAATACATCCCAGAAGAAGACAAGGGCAAAACACATATTGTAGCCAAGAAAACAACATAGATGTCACATGAAGTCACTGGGAGGCTTGCCCAAAGATGGTTCCCCACTAATGACTTACAGCAGGGAGGTCCAACCTTGGAAACTTTAAGACTTGTGGATTTCAACCAGCAGAATTCTCCAGCCAGTATGAATTCTGGAAGTTGAAATCCACAAGTCTTAAAGATGCTAAGGTTGGACAGACCTGACATAGCATCTTCTATAGGCTTCATTGAGTTGCTATAGCCCTAATGGGGATAAGTCTCACATCACTTCAACCATGGTCAGCTGAGTCAAATCCTATACAGCCTGTCAAGATTGCAGAAGTAAGAACTACTCCAACTTCAATTGGTGTCTCTAATGTTAGAGCCAGGAGTAAAATACAAAGTATTGGGAACTACAAGAGAACTGTCCAACCGTCCTCATGATTTGTTAAAGTAGAGTCTATTTGACTGGTGTGAAAATCTTCCTCCCACGTTTTATGCTATATACTGAATTGCAGTTTATGAAATAAGCTGTCAGCAGACTCATCTTTTATTTCTTGACTCCTCTTCATTTTATCCCTTTTCCAGCCTCACCATCTCTCATATCATGACACTAGGGCAGTGGTGGGATTCAGCCAGTTCGCACCACTTTGGCAGAACCGGTAGCTAATTTTTTGTTGCCCAGGCCCAGAATGGACATCCAGAAGTGGCATCCACACAGAGAACCGGTTGTTCACATATTTGAATCCCACCACTGCACTAGGGGATAGTGTTAAGTCTCTAGTGAGGATCCTCCCTATAGCACCTTCTAGTATCATCCAGTCATCATGGAGGTGAGCTAGAATCCATCCTCCTTACTGTTATATCA